GTAGTAGTAGTCAGTAGTAGTAGTAGTAGTAGTAGTAAGTAGTAGTAGTAGTAATAGTAGTAGTAGTAGTAGTAGTAGTAGCAGTAGTAGTAGTAGTAGTAGTAGTAGTAGTAGTAGTAGTAGTAATTCAAGTCATTCCACTACCAAAGACAATAGTGATAGCATTATTCAATACTGCTAAACGAAAACTATGAACATTGGTGTTAACAGTGGTGTTATCATCTGATAAGAATGGGACGGGATCCTGGACCAGGAGGAGCCCAAGTCGCCGAGTGACTGTCGTCCAGTAGCCCCGGAGGCGCCAGGATGCTCCCATGACCGCCCACGCTGGCTCCAGGACGCCCTCAGGGCGGCCCAAAAGGTATCCGATAAGGCCTCAGGGCGCTTCACGACGGATTAAGATGCACCAAGACGGCCCGTTCCGTTAATAAGCACTCACAATGGTGATGTGCATCGCGGTTTTTGTGATTTGCATCGCGGGTTTGGGGGTGCTTCGGAGGAGGACGCCGATGATAAGGAGGAGGAGTAGGAGGGGCTGTGGTGTCATAGACTCTGTGGCGCCTCAGGTTGTGCGCAGGAGGAGGAGGAAGGAGGAGGAGGAGGAGGAGGAAGACCAGGAGAGTGTGAGGGAGGGAGGGAAGAGGGAGGGAGGAGAGGAGGGAGAGGAGGAGGAGGAGGAGGAAACCAGGTGGTGTGGAGGCTGGAAAGCAGCTTCGTCTGCGCGCACGCTTCGAAGATCTTCAGTTTCCTCCGGGTCGATACCGCGGAGCGGGACCACACCCGCGACGGTGCGTCGAATTCCGCCTTTGCCTGGCCCAGCCGTCGACTGGGTTCCGGCCCCGCTGGGCCGTCTGCCGGCAGCACGCTGCCCTAGTCGAGCAGGTGCTCCTGCCGGAAGAGCTCAGAGACCTCGGCTTCTCGCCTCGTGGCCAGCACCTCCCGCTTGCCCCAGTTTGAAAACGAGGGGCCGGGAGCGGCCTCGGAACCTTGGTGCTTGAGCCAATGGAAAAGGAGGGAAGGGAGCGGGTGCTAACGAGGCCGTAGCTGGATCCAGCGGATTGGACCGCTCTCATGTATGACTCCGCTGGAGGCGCTGCCAGATCAGAGCCCCTTGCAGAGCACAGGCCTTGCAGGCTGCCAGACTGCACGGGACTCCCCGACAATCCACGTGCCGTCGGCGTAAATGAGAGCACTGATCTCCCCGCCAGCATCTGCCAGGCTTCGCCGGGCGTCGCCCAGGAGGACGGTCGTGACCATGACGAGGAGGAACGGTGAGACTGGGCAGCCTTGGCAGATGACCGCTCCCTGCGCCTGCCTGGAAGTCGTCTGCCCCGCGTCTCTCACGGAATCATTCTGCCATTGTAGGTCGAGCTCACGATGTTCAATGCCCGACTTGGGAGTCCAAGTCGCTTCAGGGCCGCGAGCATCGCGTCGGGTATGAGGCTGTCGAACTCTTTCGCCCAGTCGTTCGCCAGCAGCTCAAGGACGATGTTGGCGAAGAGCTTATGCCCGGCCTGCAGATGGGACCATAATTCCCGCATTTGGAGGCGCCGCCGTTGTTGAGTATGGTCGTGACCAGGGAATCGTGCCACGCCTCGGGGACCGTCCCCTCCCGCCAACATGTCTCGCATAATGCGAGAGCCCATCTTTGAAAATCCAGGAAATCGCCAGGCACGTACCGCCAGGCACGAAACGAATCGCCTGCACGCAGCTTTCCAGAAACCGCCAGGCACCCCGCCCTCGCCGCAAGCGTTGCCCTCATCGCATGCGCTTGGCTGCCGCTGCCACTTCTTCGCTGCTGATGGGGGCGTCGCTCACGCTCAGCTCGTCGCCAAGGGGCTCCTTGGACGTAGGCGTTGTGGCGCGGGTGGCCCGCCGCACCTGGTTCAAGAACTCGGCCAGTGTCTCTGCGCGGCGGTCGGAGTCCACGAGCGCCCCCTGCCTGCTCAGTAGCCGTCCCCGTGTCGGAGCAAAGCCCTTCCGGAGGCGCTATTAGCTGGTCCCAGTGCCCTGTGGCCAGGAGGGTGTCGAGGCACGCTGATCTGCCGTGGCGGGCGGAGCGTTTCACCTCTGCCTGCAGCCGTCTCTCTTGGTCCACCCTCCCGCCCTGCCTGGCTTCCGTTCTCTGCTGGTTCAGGGACAGCGTCTGTCCGGAGAGAGAGAGAGAGAGAGAGAGAGAAAGAGAGAGAAAGAGAGAAAGAGAAAGAGAAAGAGAAAGAGATGTAGAGAGTTATCCTGGCGAAGGACCCGACCATCTGCAATTGTCAGTACCCCTAGGCCCCTGGGACGAAGGATGTGGAGCTCCTTATGGGGCCACGGGGCGCGTGAGGGGTATGCCGACATGAGCGGGGGTGAGCACGTAGACGCCGCCGCGAGACCTTCGGTGGAGCTCCCTCGGGGCAGGCCACGCAACGCACGAGGGGCGTGCCGAAAGGGGTCGGGGAGACGCATGTGATCGCAGCCGCCGGGGCCCTCGGTGGAGAGCCTGCGAGTGCTGGTGGGAGCGCTCGTGGCAGCGCTTGGAGAGCGCCTATAGGGACGCTCGGGAACGTCTGGCTCAGGAGCGCCTGGAAGCGCCCGGGAGCGCCCGGGAGCGCCGGGGAAGCGCCGGGGAAGCGCCGGGGAAGCGCTTGGGAGGCTTGGGAGGCGCCTGGAGCGCTTGTGGGCGCTCGGGAGCGCGTGGGAGCGCCTGGGACCGCCTGGGAGCACCTGGGAGCACCTGAGAGGCTGGGACCGCTTGGGAGCACAGGGGAGCGCCCAGGAACGCCTGGGAGCGGTTGTCGGAGCGTCTGGAGAGTGCCTGGAGCGGAGCGCCGCCCGAGACGGCATGTGAACGCTTGGGGGAACCTGTGGGGCGCTTGGGAGGCGCCTCGGAACGCTTGGAAAGCGCCTGCCTGGAAGCGCCTGGGAAGCGCTCGGGAAACGCCTGGGGGCGCCGGGGAGCGCTTGGGGGGAGGCGCTGAAGTCTCGGAGCGCTCGGGAGCGTTTGGGAGCGCCGGGGTAGCGCTTGGGCGTGCTGGGGAGCGGCGGGGAGCACATGGGACCGCCTGGGAGCGACTGGGGGCGCGGAAGCAGGTAGTCACAAGCATTGGAGCCTTCGGTGCGCTTTCTGCGCGGCCACGAAACGCTGTACTGGGTGGCGCGGACGCATGTGGTCACAGTGACTGGGGCCTTCGGTGGAGCTCCTTATGGGGCCACGAAACGTTGGATTCTCGTGCGCGGGCGCATGTGGTCACCGCCATTAGTGCCTTCCATGGAGCTCCTTACGGGGCCACGAAGCGCTGTATTCTCGTGCGTAGACGCATGTGATCGCAGCCACTGGGGCCTTCGGTGGAGCTCCCTATGGGGCCACGAAACGCTGTACCAGGTGGCGCGGACGCATGTGGTCACAGCTACTGGGGCCTTCGGTGGAGCTCCCTGTGGGGCCACGAAGCGCTGTATTCTCGTGCGCGGACGCATGTGGTCACAGCTGCTGGGGCCTTTGGTGGAGCTCCCTGCCACGAAGCGCTGGATTCTCGTGCGCGGAGGCATGTGGTCGCAGCCACTTGGGCCTTCGGTAGAACTCCCTGTGGGGCCTTCGGTGGAACTCCCTTTGGCGCGGGACAATGCGGTCACAGCCATTGTGGCATTCGATGGAGCACACTATTTGGCCACCAAGCGCTGTATTGGGTGGCGCGGACGCATGTGGTCACAGCCAGTGGGCCCTTCGGTGGAGCTCCCTACGCGGCCACGAAACGCTGTACTGGATGGCGCGGGCGCATGTGGTCACATCCACTGGGGCCTTCGGTGGAGCTCCGTGTGGGGCCGCGAAACGCTTAATTTTCGTGCGCGGACGCATGTGGTCGCAGCAACTGGGCCCTTCGGTGGAGCTCCTTATGGGGCCACGAAACGCTGTTATTCCCGTGCGTCGAGCATGCAGTCACAGCCAGTGGACCCTTCGGTGGAGCTCCCCCTGGTGCCACGAAGCGCTGTACTCCCGTGCGCGGACGCATGTGGTCGCAGCTATTGGGGCCTTCGGTGGAACTCCTTATGGGGTCACGAAGCGCTGGATTCTCGTGCGCGGACGTCTGTGGTCACAGCTGCTGGGGCCTTCGGTGGGGCGCCTTCTGGGGCCGCGAGACGCTGTGCTGGGTGTGGGGGGCAGAGGCAGGGATGCGAGGATGGGGAGGATGGGGCGAGGAGGAGACTAAGGAGGAGAAGCGCGGGACGCCGCCTCTTCAAAGCGAGGACCCACAACCACAGGATGGCAGGAAGAAGGGAGAGAGAGAGAGAGAGAGATAGAGATAGGGAGAGACCAAGCTCGGTCGTCGGGGCGCAGGCTCGTCTGGTGGGCATGTACGGCATCGCCGTGCTGCTGGGGGCCACCTTCGGCAACTGCTACTCGCGGTTCAAGGTCTGCTCGTGGGTGCTGCTGCCGGCCGGGGTGGGCGCCTGGGGGGCTCGAAGCCGGGCGGCGGCCGGCGTCTGCGGCGGCGGCGGTGCGGTCCCTCTTGCTGCCCCGTGCCTGGAGCTTGCCACTGTCCCTTCCCTCCACCAGCTCCTCGTCGTCCTCGTCCTCGGTTTCGTCCTCGTTATCGTCGTCGTCGTCGTCGCCGTCATTCTCGTCGTCGTCGTCGTCGTCGTCGTCCTCGTTTTCGTCCTCGTTATCGTCGCCGTCGTCGTCGCCGTCATTCTCGTCGTCGTCGTCGTCGTCGTCGTCGTCGTCGTCGTCGTCGTCGTCGTCGTCGTCGTCGACATCGTCGTCGTCACCTCGGAGCCTTTCGCCAGACGGCCTGCGGAATACTCTTCGGGGGTCGTCATGATAATCGTCGTCATCAGCAGCAGTCCCGTAGTAGCAGAATCAGGAGAATTGCATGGACTTTCCAAGCAGCCCTGGAGGTGGACGTCGGCAACGCCATGGGATTCTCGGCGATGGCACAGCCCGGTACTCAGATTGTGGGGATGGAGGCAGGAAGTGTGTGGTGGGGGGGGGGCAGGACGGCAACAGGAAATATGCGTTGAAGAGGGGAGCATTGGGGATGACGATGGTGGTTATCAGAACAGCCATGCGGAAACACTTGACACGAGGAGGGGGAGGGTGCAGGGCCAGTCAAGGCCGAACCCATTTCAGCGAGTGTGCCGCAGCAAAGCGACGCGGGTGCTAACCCAGACGTCCCGAACAGTCAAGGCCGAACCCACCTCCCCAACAGCGTTTCGTCAGCAGGTTCTGTTAGAGGTTTTTTTTTGAAAAGGCCACAGAAGAGTCCCACGGGGGGATCGGGGAGCCCTGGACCGCCCTGTCCAGCAGCCAGTCCGTCAGCTGGTCCGGCAGCCGGGCCGGCGGCCGTTTCGCCGGAGACACCCTCATCATCTATGCATGAACCGTGTTCTCGCCTGAGTGCCGGCTACATTTTTTCAGCCACGCGCAGAGGGGGGAGGGGGGAGGACGTAGAAGCACCCCTGCTTCTTAGAAGGCGCGTGCCTTGTCCATAGATGCAAGTCCGGCGCCTTCTAAGAAGCAGCCTCCTTCTAAGAAGCCCTCTCCCCTCCCTCCACCCCCGTGTGCGCGCCGCCAATTTCTGGTGCAGACGGTCACGATTCTTCACTACGAAGGTGCACCGTCGCTAGCCCGCCTCCCACTCCTCGACCCGCCCTCACCTTTGCCGCTGTGCGAGTGCTTTGCTGGGGCAGTTTCCAAGCGGGGTCCTCCTTGTGCGGAGTCTTCTTTCGACGGTCCCGGGGCCTGGCGAGGGCTCCCGGACGCCGAGATTGGCCGAAAGCCTTCCACACCGTGCTTTCCTCACGACGCGAGCAGGTCGGGAACGACACGGCGCCGGCCGGGGTGCCACGCACGTGCATGGCCCCCTGGCGCAAGCCTTGAGTCGGGCATGACCCTCTACAGGACGAATCTTCGAGAAGAGTCAACAATGGTCCGGGGAGGACTTTTGGATTTTTCTTTTGGGGGGGGGGGCAATGTTTTTTTTTTTTGGTTTGTTCCTCGTCCAAGATCTCGCCTGCAGCAGCGAGCCTCGCACGGCTCGGCGCCTGGGCGCCCCGTGCGGCGCTCTGCAGCCGCCGGGCCTGGCGCGCGCCCCGGGCGTGCGGCCCACGGCCCCCACTTGAACGAAGGATTGCAGAAAAACCGAAGGATTGCAGAAAAACCCGAAGGATTGCAGAAAAACCGAAGGATTGCAGAAAAACCCTGGATTGCAGAAAAACCCCTCGGTTATCCTTCGGTATTTCTGCAATCCTTCGGTTTTTCTGCAATCCTGGGTTTTTCTGCAATCCTTCGGTTTTTCTGCGGCCCCGGGGCGGGCCTCGAGAGCCCAGGGAGCCGCCCCCGCGGCGGAGCCGGGAGGCGAGGGGCTCGGGGCCAGGAATAGTCCGGGGACGAGTTTTGGACCGTTGTTGACACTTTCGGAGGATCTTTTTCGACTATTTTTTTTTTTTGTATGTTTCCTCCAGCGTCCGCCCGTAGGAGGACACGCCCGATTTAATTGTAGTGGTCGGTTCGGCTTGCGACACTTGCAGCAGTTGCAAGATGGTTGCAACCCACTTGCAGGGCGCCTGCCAGTGGGTTGCAGGGCCGCCTACCTGCTCTAAGTCTGAGTAAATCGCGGACCAACTCGGAACAGGTAGGCGGACTTGCAATTGTTGCAAGTCCCAGCGATCACTGCAGTGGGTTTTTCCTGAGCTTCCAGATGCCTCCCTGGAGGCCTGGTGGGAGCTCCAGAGGCCTTCGGGGACCTCGCGAGGGCCTCCAGGGACCTCCATGGGTGGCCAGCGGGGGTCGCGTGCGCCCTCTTGCGCCTGTTGCAGGTCACGGCGATCACTGCAGTGGGGTCCCCTTGGGCTTCCAGAGGTCTCTCTGGAGGCCTCTGGGGGACCTCCAGAGGCCTTCGCGAAGACCTCGCGACGGGCTTCCAGGGGGGCGCCAGGCATATGCCCTCCTGGCGTGGCCAGACCCCCGGAGACCCGCGCATCGAGACGACTGGCCGAGAGCATCCACGGTGGTGCTAAGATGATGATCTCATGCGGTCGTGCTGTACCGTTGGCCTGAGACTCGCTCTGCGTGGAAGCATGCGTCAGCGGCGAGTGCCGGAGCTACTGCTTCCACATATCTAAGCTGCTTCGCCGAGGTGTGCACGTCGTGGCGGGGTCTTGAACGCCTGCTGGGCTCGGTGTAGACGCCAATCCTGTCAGAAGCTGTCTAACTCCATGTGGTTTGGGCCCCCCGATGCTGGCAGTGCACAGCTCACAGGCCCAGGGCGGCGCCACAGAACCGACGCCGCACCCCAGACGTGCCCGGACTCCTCGTGCCGCTCAGCCACTGGGCCCCGGCACGATCCGGCGGCCCGGCTTGTCGTTACCATCGCCCCCTCCGTCCTTCTTTTCAGCCACCCATCCGCCCGCCGTTGCGGGCATTCGGCTCAAGGCCACGACCCTTCGTGGCTGAAGTGTTTCAGGAGCGCAGTCTGCGCTTCGCAGCAGGTTGAAAAGGTGCGGCGCGAACTGCGCCGCCATGCCGTCCGTCGGCGTGGACGGTCACACCATCCCGAAGAGTCTCGTGCAAAGGTCTACTGAGCTAGGATACGAGGATGCGGAGACACCGCACGTGTCAGATTGCAGCGATCACTTGACCAACGACACGGCTTCGCGCTTCACGCGTCGTGGGGTGCTGGGGCCCGTGTGCGCGCCCCGTGGTCCCCGTGCGGGCGTGGGCTGCGCGCCGTCGCGCCCCGGCGGTGCACTGCCGCCCAGCTGCTCGTGCGCGTGGCCCTCTCCGCCCTCGGTGGCACCGCCTGGACAGGCCTGCTGTCCGGCAGGCCAGGGCGCTGGTGCCCAGCCTGGGCCGCGGGCGCGGCGAGCACCAGCGAGCCCGAGCGGTCTGCCGCGAGGCCTGGGAGAGCGCGCGAGGTACGATGCCTGGGAATTGTGCATCCTGCACGTGCGGCGATCAGACTTTACAAGCGTCTGCTGCGCCCGAGCATCCATCCATCCGCCGGTCGTGTCGGCCGTTTTGCGCTCTGGGCTCTGTCTGCGTGCGCACCCGGCTCTTCCGCCCTGCCGCCGCCCGTGCGCGGTCTCTCAGGGGTGTCGCAGTTCCTCCGTGCTGCTCCCTGGAGATGCGAGCCCACTTGCTAGCCCTTCCTCCGTGCTGCTGCGCACTTTGAGGGTCACCCCCACATGTTTGCTAGCGCTGACCGGTCTCTGCGGCGCGTCGGAGGGAGGGCGTGCGCGCAGCTCTTGCTCTGCTGCGCCCCAGCTCAACGTGGCCCACCGCAACGGACCGTGACCGCCGCCGCCGACCAAAACAATGTGCGTGTTGCCCATCCGCAGGAACGAGACGCGTGTCGTCGTTTCGTCGTCGTCGTCGTCGTCGTCGTCCGAGGAATCGAAGCTCGAGGTTTTCTGAAGTTCTTCTGCTTTTGTTTGGCCTCCTGCAGCCCCCTGCAGGCCTTGGCCGCCACGGTCGGACTTCTCGCTCTTGTTTGGCTCCCGGAGGTCTGGCCAGAGCGCCCCCTCCAGAAGGAGGCCTCGGGGTCGGCGTTGGGGGAGGGAGATGGCATGTGGCAGGCTCGCGCTGCGTTGACGGGGCGGCGACCGGTAGGCCGGAGTCGGCCTTCAGCGAAGGATTTGCGCTGCCGAGCAGGAAGCGCGAGCGCTCGACGCTGCGCGGCCCGCGCGGTGCCAGGGGGCAACGCCGCAGCCGCCGCGATCGCTGGAGCCACAGCTGTCGCTCTGGAAGTGTGTCCTGCCTTTCGTCGGCATTGGAATTCTGCCGCGTCTGAGTGCCCTCCTCCTCCTGTCCTTGGCGGCCGCCCTCTCCGCCTCGTTGCCCCGCTGGCACGCCGGCCGATGCGCGTACACTGGCCGTCCCGGATCGCCGCTCGCTCGCGCAGTGCTGCTTCGCAGCAGACGTGAGAAGTGTTATTCGGGCGAAGAGAACTATGCACATGCACTGATCCAGGCATGTGCCTTCCTGGCCAAGGCAGGAGGGCGTATGCACCGATCCTGGGCTCAGGATGGGCCTGGCCAGAATCGGTGTATGTGCATAGTTCTTTTTCCTCTAGTTATGCCTTTCTGCGCGTATGGTTCGCTGAACGGGGCGCGTCTTCTAATGGAGTGTGTGTGTGTGTGGCGTATTCTTGGTTTTGGGGACGGTTCAGATGGCCAACAGCGCTGGCTGCTATCATTCCAGTCGGCGGCATCCATCTCTGCTTCAATGTCATCGTTTGTTGTCCCTGGGGGGAGGGGAGGTGAGGGGGGTGAGGCTGAGCTGCTATGCCACTGGTCTTCGCTGAACGCTCAGCCCACAGAAGTCAATATGGCATACACCAGCTGGGCGTGTGTCTTGTCAACATTCCGCATGCCGCGTGATGGCGGTTGAGTGCATGGACTTTGGCTCTTCGAGTGCAGCATTGTTTTTCGTAGTATTGAATGTTGCAAAAGCGGTGGAGGAGAGGAGGAGGAGAAGGAGGTTCTGGACGATATTCTCTATTAAGGCTCGTCGGGACTGGCGTGGGCAATTTCATGGCTGGCTGCGTGCTCGACGCCTTCAAGATGCCCGGCTCGGAGGACGAATGGGACTGCACGAGAGTTACAGCATCAGCGGCAACGACAGGGGGGGATCGGCATAGGGGGGATTCATCGACCCCCAATCGCCCACTGATCGCCGATAGGGGCCCGATAGCCCCAACCCGCCCAGGAACGTGCGGATTCACCACCGGGGTCCTGTCGCCGATCCATCGGCGATGCATCGCCGATTCCAGGTCGATGCATTCCCCCCCCTTTGCCAGTCCTCCCCCTGCCGTTGCCCCTCACAGCATGCATGTGGGTGTCCAGCAGATCGAAGTCGTGTCTCCGTGACCTGGAGGAGGGCGTATGCCGAGGCAGCGGCGTCGAGGCAGAGGGCGGCCCTCCCGCTCTCCGTGGTGACGAGGGCCCCCCACGGAGGCCGCAGAGGCACCCTGGCTCTCACTGGCCCTCCTCCGAGTGACCCCACTGTCGTCTTCTCCTCCTCCTCCTCCTCCTCCTCCTCCTCCTCCTTCCGTGCTCAGGGGGGGCGTTCCCATCTCGGCCGGTTGGAACTCGTCTTCGAGGGGCTCCCCCTGCGCCCGCCAGGCACGGGCGGAGACGCGCAGTTTTTTTTTTTTTTTTTTTTTTTTTTTTTTTTTTTTTTTTTTTTTTTTTTTTTTTTTTTTTTTTTTTTTTTTTTTTTTTTTTTTTCTGTTGCTCAGCATACCAGGTCGCGAGTCATGATCGTATCCGTTGTGCGGCTGCAGCCGCCGTCGCAAGGGCGAGTTCGGACATCAGCAGATGGGACGAACCAGGGCTCTGCACGTTGCAGCTCTTTTGAAACGCTCCCAAGAAGCAGTGGAGGCCTTGACGGCACGACCTCGATATACCTGTTATTTGGCTGCATGGGGAAGTAAGTTTAAGACTCGCTCGGGAACAGTGCTCCGATTGACCCGGCGAGAGTCTCCAGCGCCCCTCCATATCCGCAGCCTTGTTCTCCTCTTCCTTCCTCCTCCTTCCTCATTTTCCTCCTTCCTCCTTCTCTTCTTACTCCTCCTTCTCGTCCCGCTCCTCCTCCCCTCCCCTCTCCCTCTTGAGAGTATCTTGGAGGTGTATCCGGAGCTTCTCTGGGCCCTCTTGTGCCCTCTTGGGGGCCTCTTGGGGGCCCGCTGGAATCCCGTGGTTGCTCTCTGAGCCGCCTTTGGCGCGATGCTTCCACAGCGTTCTCCCATCAAGGCTCGGTTCAACCATCGGTCGTTGTGGGGGTTTCCAGGCAGTGTTTGGGTTGTTTTGGGGAGGCTCTCGGGACAGTTTGGGGCCGCCTTGGAGACTTCTTGGGGCCGTCAGGAGCTCTTTCCAGAGGCGGTCTGAAACCGAGAAGCTTCGGAGGGAGCAGATCTGGTGGCCCCAGCGATTTTGCAGTGTTTTCCGCATCCGGAAGACCGGGAGGTCTGTCGGAGGAGATTCCAGGATCGCTTTGTTCTCCAAGGAGCTTCCAGCTGGCCCAGAAGGCCCCAGGAGGCCCGAGAAGGGCCCTCAGGACGCCCCCAGCATGCTTCAGGATGCCCCCAGGGGAGACCCCTGGGGAGGGCCTGGGAGGCCCCATGAGGCGGAAGGATGCCTTTCAGGTGGGGAACAAAAACACACAGACACAATGAATCGTCGATCCCCAGGAAAAGATGGGGAAATATAGGAAGTGGGGGGGAAGACAAAAACCCAGAAAATGTGGGAAAATATGGGGGATCCTGTTATGTATATATGTGTATTTATTTGTGTGTCCCACGGCCCCTTCAGCACTCACCCATTGTCGGTCTCACTGATGCTCAGACCCTCTCATAATGAGACCCGCTCATATCCAGAATCACGGACACGCAATCGTGCATGCTCAGACTTTCATGCGGAGGCTCATTCTCGGACGCACTCGCGCTCGGACCCACTCATACACAAACCGAGTCATCCTCAGACCCGTCCACACTAAGGCGCGCATGCCAAGATGCATCCATATTCAGATCCACTTGCACTCAGACTTAGTCGTACCGAGTAAGTCATACTCAGGCTCGCGCCTACTCACACTCGCTCACACTCAACTTCACTCATACTCAAGCGCATTGAAATTACCCCAAGATTCCTGCAGAAGCCCCCTCTCCGATTTATACGACCGCACCCAAGGATTCCAATCTGATCCCAATCTGACCCCAGTCGAATTCCAGTCGGGATTCGTCGGATTCCAATAAGACTGATATCAAGGGCTTCGCTCTCTGCCACTGCCCCAACCCCCCCGGGAATGCTTGCATGGCCACGCTTGGTTGGTAGATATATTGGCTTTCTTGTCGGCTGGCTGGCCGGCGACGCGGCGGATTGGCCTGTCGTCAGGATTTATGATTGGCAGTTTGTTTGGGCTGTTTGCTGGCGGGCTGGTTGCGCGCGTCTGTAACGATTGGTTTCGCGGATGGTGGCCTCGGGAGCGCGCGGGGCTGGTTTCGAGGGGACTCGCCGGGTTGCCTCCTGGAGGCTCCTTCCTTGGTGCGCTGGGGGTACAGTCGCCCCCTCGATGCTAGGGAAAAGCATCGACCCGCGTCGTGAGATTGATCTGATCAGGAGGAAGGCGAAGCTCTTCGGAGAATGGGCGATCTAGAGACGCAGACGTGTCACTCATCAGGGACACGAGCAGCGTTGCCAGTGCCTACTGTGCTGGCATTGGTCCGCAGGCGGCCTTGCCCAGCTTCGTCGGCGCCGACTGTGCCGCTGGGTCAAGGCTCGGGGGGTCACTTCCCTGCGGGGCCGAGTGCTTGCCCTCCGTGGCAGGGCGCCGTGCAGGGCGCGCTGCGTCGCCGGGTGCCGCGCAGGGCGCGGTGCTTCGCACTCGCCTGCCGTTTCGTGGCAAGGCGCCACACGGGGCGCAAACCGCGTCGCGGAACGCGCCATCGCCCTCCCGCCCCCCGCCGCTTCGCGCCGAGACGCGCGCGTGAATGCGGCGAGGGATTTGATATCTGGCTTGTGTTCGGCCGTTTCTGCCTCAGCTCCCGCCTCCCGACGCAGCGGCCGGCGCGGAAATTGCGGGGGGGACTCGCCGGGTCGTCTCCTGGAGGCTCCTTCCCTGGTGGGTTGGGGGTACAGTCGCCCCCTTGGTGCTAGGGAAAAGCATCGACCCGCGTCGTGAGATCTACAAGGTTTCGGGGCTTCGGGAACGCGCACCCCTCGCCATTCGCGAAGATTCGTGGCGTCGGGGTCCAGAGCTGAAGCCTCAGGAAACGACGATGGGGGTGCCGAAAAATGCCCCCCCAACACATGCCCCACTATAGATCTAAATCGGGCATGTCCCTCTACAGGTGGACTATTCAGTAATAGTTTGAAAAATAGTCTGGGGACGATTCTTCGATTGTTTGTCGACTATTTGCAAGTACTTTTGTGGGTCATTTTTTGAATTTCTCTTCCGGAGCCCGCCTGTGGGAGGACGTGCCCGCTCTGACTACAGAAAGGAGGCGGCTCTGGGCGGCCTCCGAGGGGCGGGTTAGAGGCCCCTCGGAGGCGCGACGCTGTTGTGTGTTCTCAATGGGTTTTTATGGACTCGGGGGCGCAGCTCTCCGTGGTATGCTGCGGAGGGCCGTGGCCGCGGGAGCGCGCGAGCTTGTCGTGCTCCACGAGGGGCCGTGGCTTGGGGAGGGCGAGTCTCTGCGGCGAGCGAGGGGGGGGGGGGACGTGGGAAGGAGAAGGCCTTCTCGGAAAGCGGCGGGGCTTCCCAGAAGCCCTCTGGCCGAAGGCTTCGACAACTTCTCAGACGGCTTGGGGACTTCTGAGCCTTTTGAGAAGGCCCACCCATCCTCACTTCCCCCCCCAGGCTCGCCGCCGAGAGCCTGGCGTACTTTGCGATGGATTCTGGCTTCGGGCGCGTTGTAAGTTACGAGAGATTGTGTCTTCAGGGGCGCATTCTTTCACCACCCACCCAAGTACCCCAAGCCAGCCCGAAGGCTCCAATTTGCCCTCCATTCCCAGTGAGGGTGGGGTCGGGGAACATGGAAAAACACGTATGAAACCCGTGCCCCCCCCCAACCCGAAATTGGGGTATTCGGGTTGGGTTTGGGTGGTCTGGTAGGTAGTCATTCTTGGCTTAATGTGTGAGAGGGGTTCTGGCCCTTGGAGCGCGAAGCGATAATGGTTCGGGAAGCGCGAGCCCGGTGTATTTTACGAGGGATTGTGGCGTCGGGGGAGCCATTGCAAAGTCATTAGCGAAGGATTGTGGCTTCGGGGTGCATGATTGTTGCACTATGCGAGGGGTTGTGGGTTGGGGAGCGCGGATCTCGCGCAATTTGAATGGATGGTGGCGTGGGGAGCGCGAGCCCGTCGTAATTGACGAAGGATTGTGGCCTCGGGAGCGTGAAGCCGGCTTACATTTTATAAGGGATATACAATTCACAGAAGGGGATTGCGGTTTGCGGAGCGCGACTTTGATGTAATTTGCAAAAGGGCTGTGTCTTGGGGAACACGCGTCTGGGGGAATCTATAAGGGATTGCGGTTTCGGAAGAACGAGTTCGGTGTAATTTGCGTGGGATGATGGCATCGGGAGCGCGACCCCGGCGTAATCTACAAGGAATGGGCCTCAGGAGCGTGACCGTGAAGCACTCTGCGAGAGATTGTGGCCGTGGGAGCGTGCATCTGTTTGATATTGAGGGGGTGCGTTCTCGGAGTGTGACTATAATTTTACGTGTCCCAGGGCATTCCCAGGAATTCAAAGCACGTGATTGTGGGAGGGGGGCCGCGTCCTTCTATGGCTTCCCCGCTCTCCCGGGCTTCAGCCACGACAACACTGGAACTATGATTTATATTCTCTTCACCTGGAACTGGAACTGGTGCAGGGAACAGGACAGCCTAGCCCACGTAGCCTGGTGGCCCCCAGTGGGGCTGGCGGATTTCCGCGCCCACGCGCAATAATTGTTCATTTCGGTGCCAGCGATATATTTACGCCCACATCCACGAATTAGTCATTTTGAGTTCGGTGCCGACGATCACCCTCGGGGTTTCTTAACTGCTCCTTCTGGCTATATAAGACGCGTTTAGATTCGGAGGCGTTGATGCCCAGTCTCTCTGCGGTTGATGTCTCACACTAGAACCAAAACAGACGCATCTCGGGCTTGCAAGAAGAGTAATTGAGAACACCGAGAGCAGCCAGGCCGCGACAGACCAACCGCTGCAAGCGCGGTGGATAATATGTCCAGTTGACGGCCGTGATGGTGTGTTGTACTGGGCCTCTGGAGTGATTTCTTGACTTCAGTGGTCGTTTCAGCATGAGTCCTTTCGTGTGTGGCACGCTGCATGGCCTGGAGGCGGTCTCGAGGGCCGTCTTGGGCTGACGGACCCCATCGGTGTAGTCGAATTTCCCCTCTTGGGCACGTGGCCCAGATGCCTCTCTTCTCCGTTTGGCCAGCGGCTCCAGATGGCACGCTCCACTCTTCTAAGGCACCAGGTCCACCGGGCGCTGCCCAAGGACAGTCCAGCCTCGAGAGCACGTGAGAGCGCCCCAGAATTCCATCAGATGGGATCTTCTGGGGTCTGGGGCCTTTGAACGCAATTGCACGACTCAATAGTTAGGGCCCTAATTATGGGCCCTGAGGACACCCCGCTCAGCGCCTCGGGGCATGGTGGCGGACACAGGCCGTAAAATCTGCGCTCTTACCCGCCGTGGGTTCGTGAAGGCGCTACATTCCTTCACCGCTGGTTCGGGGCAGCGTAAGCTGCAAGACTGGAACCTGCCTTCACCTTAGCATCGCTCGGACGTGTGCATTTTTTCCTCGGCGAGGATCATCGAGGACCATCTGGGATCATCTTGCGAAAAATAAACTCACTAAATCGAAAACTACACGGGGAATGGCCGTCTGAGCGATGGCGATTCACAGTGAAATGGTCGTGTCTCACGCGCCACTCCGGTTGACAGGGCGCTGCCGAGGTTCCACAGTAAGAGCGAGCGCTGGGAAGGAAGCAGTACCTTGCCGGGGGGACTTCGCAGTGCATGCAATGACACGGTCTCAAGAGCCGCGGCAGCTAAACATTGTTGGTTGCAGCTCTTGCAGGAATTCTTGCTCGCAGCTGGTGACCCCCTTGTGAGTTCGAGTGTGGTACTTCCCCAGGCATGCGACGTCCTGTTTTTTTCAATGCCGGGCCCCCGAATCATGACTCATGACCCTGTCGCCCTGGTAAGTTTTTCATCCCGAGCCGCTTTTTACGCTCCCAGGGCCTGGCGAGGGCCCATGAGGGCCGAAAACGGCCAGGAACCGTCAGTCAGTTTTATTTTGTTTCCCTTATTTTTTATGTTGTTTTTTGTTTGTGTCTCGTTTTTTTCGACGCGAGCACGTCTTGGTCTCGCCAGCAGCAGCAAGCGACCGCACGGTGTCCATTTCGATCCAGCAGCCCGATCTGGCGCACGTTTCGATCCGATTCAATCTATCGATGCGACGTTTGGTGGCCCCTGCCGCAGCATCTGCCGCCGCACGCGCCGCGCAGGGGCGGTACGCGAGCGTCGCCTTCGTGGCGATGGCGTGGGGCAGCGCCGCAACCACGGTGCTCGGATGCCACCAGCTATACTTAAGTCGGGCGTGTCCCCCTACAGGGGGATTTTCGACGAAAAATAAAAGATACCCCAAAGATACCCCAAAAAGGTCAAACATATTCAACAAATAGTCCCCAGACTATTTTTGGATTATTTTTGGATTTTTGGGGGGTATTCTTTATATTTCGTCGAAAATCCCCCTGTAGGGGGACAGGCCCGACTTACAGCTATACGCCCTCGCTCATCCTGGCCGAGCCGATTCTGGGCACAAGATTGGTGTATAGCCTTCTTGCCCAAGCCAGGAGGGCGCATGCACCGATCCTGGGCCCAGGATGGGCCCGGACAGGATCGGTGTAGGTGTACAGTTGGCGTCCTCGTACATCATCGCCATCGCCATCGCCATCGCCGTCGCCGTCGCCGTTGTCGCCGGCGCCGACGTCGTCGTCGTCGTCGTCGTCGTCGTCGTCATCGGCATCATTGTCGTCGTCGTCGCCGTCGTCGTCGGCGCCCTCCTAGGCGCTGACCTGCTGGCTGCTGAATGGCATCCTGGTCCGCAAGGCGCCCGTGGGGCAGCACGGCCGCCACGGGCGCAGGGGAGCGCAAGAGGGAGAGCGCGGCGGCCCCAGCCGAGGCGAGGAACAGATTGCCAGATTGCCAGATTGCCCCCAGCTCTACCGTGTAGCCAAGTGTCTTGGCTGCACGGTAGAGCTGGGTCTTCGGGCCAGAGTTAAATCGGAGTTCCAGTCAGACCTAAATCAGACCTGGGTCTTAGGGCCAGAGTTGAATCGGAGTTCCAGTCAGACCTAAATCAGAGTTGGCGCTGAGGGCCAGACTTGAATCAGAGTTCCAGCGCAGACATGAATCAGACCTTCATCAGAGTTTTGGGCCTGAGCAGAGAAACAGAGCTTGCTTCCGAAGGACACACTCAAGCCAAGACGCTGAGATAAGGAACAGTTTGAGTTCGGAAGGGGCTATAGGTCCTTCCGTGGAGGTTTCTGCAGCGCTCCTCATCCGCGCAGGCGCGTTTTTGGGGTCAAAGGGGGCATTCGTTCCTTATTTTGCGTTTCTCGTTTCAGCAGCCCGACTGCAGTGGTCGCTGTGCCTTGCAACCGTTGCAAGGTGATTGTAACCCACTTGCAGGCGCCTTGCAATGTGGCTTGCAACCGCCTTGCAGCTGCTGCAACTGTTGCAAGTCGAAGCGACCACTGCAGCAGCTCTTCCAACTTGGGGACCGAGGTTCAAGAGTCGAAGAGCGTTCTGGGGCTGCCCGGATCGCCGCGAACGGTCGCCAGAGAGCCGAGCTACAGTCAACCCGCATAGTAAAGATGGACAACCTTCCCAAGGGTACCCTTCCATCCTTGCCTCTTCGGCCCATCTTTGGCCGCTTTCGCTGGCCGCGCCCCGCTCGCAGAGTGTCGACATGGACTTCCGATGCCCCTGCATCCTTACCGCGCATCCTTACGATACGGGCTGGCTGTAGGGCCCGAAGGCCAGGGGGACAGGCTCAGGTGCGGCAGGGGGATCGCGCCGCATCGCCCATGCCTCGGCGAGGCGGCTCGATGTGGAGCCCGGTTTTCTCCACGCCGTCGGCCCTGCGCTGCTGGTGCTGCTGGCCGTTTTGTTGAGGCAATGTCGAGTTATGTTGTCGTTGCTGTTGCTGTTGTTGCTGTTGCTGTTGCTGTTGATGTTGATGTTGCTGTTGATGTTGATGTTGTTGTTGCTGTTGCTGTTGATGTTGATGTTGATGTTGATGTTGTTGTTGTTGTTGTTGTTGTTGTTGTTGTTGTTGTTGTTGTTGTTGTTGTTGTTGTTGTTGTTGTTGTTGTTGTTGTTGTTGATGTTGTTGTTGTTGTTGTTGTTGTTGTTGTTGGTGATGGCGGTGGTGGTGGTGGTGGTGGTGGTGGTGGTGGTGGTGGTGGTTGTTGTTGTTGTTGTTGAACATTATTACTTCTAAAGAATAATTATTGTTGGGACCCCTGGTGCACGGCCCCCTCGCCGCGCCTAGGCCGCAGCCATGTTTTCATCATTTTCGTGAGGAAGTCTCCGGCAAAACGGGTTGGTCCGGATCCGGTTGTTTTGTTACGGGCGGTTGCAAAAAATAAGGCAAAGTGGACATTTCTTGTTCTAACATAACCAAACTTCAAGAATCCCTTGCAAAAAATAAGGTAAAGTGGACATTCGCGCGCGCAAGACGAAATCCTTCCAAAACCTTAGTGTTCGTAGCGATTTTAACATAAAAACATCAAAAAACCAATGGTTTTTCAAAACAAAAGTGTCAAAATTTCATCCCGCGCGCTCTTGCGGATTCGTAGGAAACCCAACACTTTTTAAACATTTCTGTCAAACGGGCTTTTGCGAGCAACTTTGCTTCGAACTTCTGCAACAACGGTTGCGCACCTGCCAGGGCCATCATCCCTGTCAAATAATACCATGCGGGACACATTCGTTTTTTCTTCGCGCGCGCACGCCGAAATCTTCAAAAACCATTGGGTTTCTTAGGAATTTTAGCACCGCGCAACATAAAATCATACGAATCGCACCGTAGGTCCTCGAAAAACATCTGTACGAATTTTCAAAATTTCTACCCGCGCGCGCTGTCCGAATCCTAAAAAACCAATGGTTTTTCAACATTTATGT